TCTCTGAAGCCACTGGCGTTGGTGGGCTCTTGGGGTGCAGAAGGCTTGCGGGACGGGACGAGGCGCGGATGGCGTGCCGAGGTAGAGAAGCATTCTGACGTCAGCAGTGGAGGGGGAGAGGTTAAGAAACAAGAAGGGCCAGGCCTCGTAGCCACTGGTTGTGACTCCATCATAGTGTCTATAAGGGAGGGGGGAGAGAATGAGTTTGGGGAACTGATGACACAGTTGAAAAACAAAAATAACCAAAATGGATTTTGTAACCAATGATCAGGAGCAAACTTTGAAGGGCATTCTAAATTATGATGCATGCGAGATTGGATTATTCCTAACGGATATAACACGATATGCCATCATCTCCGGTTAGGACGAATCCTGTTTGACTAGATGGGTCGGTAGAGACTTACACGAAGGCGAGAAGACTCGAAGAAATTTGGTGCAGACTGAAAAAACTAATTTTTTTCTGAAAATGTCCGACTGTCGCAAACAATGAGGTCGACCTCAGTAGCTGAACATTTGCGCTTTACTGCACCTATGAAGAAGCAGGTTTGGTCTCTATTTACCGCATTCTTTCTTCACGTAGTTGTCAGACACCAATGTCTAGACGCGTTCAAAATGACTGGCAGTGGGCCTGGACGTAATTACCAGCAGAGTTAAGCAGCTCATCTACAGTAGATGTAGTATTCTGTTGAATTTTAGCCGGAATGCTATGATTTGTTTCGGATTATTAAATATAACTTAAGTAGGGCTTTAATAGCACTTATTTTGCAACATAATCTCAGTCAGTCCTGTCATGATTCGGGCTTTTGGAAAATCTTTCTAACCACCTACAGTAACTATAGTTTTTAAAAACAAGTCCATAAATAGTGTGCATTTTCATCTTGACTTCAAATACCCATATAAATGCAAATCACTTTTATAGAATGCACGCAGAACAATAGTGTTTTCATGTACTCATTTAGCAGTAAGTTATATCTTATTCACATTGTTAATGCTTAAAAGAGGCATTCTTCGGTTTTAAGAAACGTTCTAATTTTCGGAATAATTTGAACCCAATCCTGTATACTTTTCGTGGAAGGAAAAGCATATATTTCTATACGCGATTAAGAAGAGGTAATATATTGCTTTTATAATTCTGCGGTGAATGTGGACCATATAGTACACTTTGCGATTCGCATAAGTATGTAAATGGAAAGATACGCTACATTTTGAGTAGAAATTTCGTGGTCTTAAAAAAATTAAAAATTGGAAACCTTATTAATATTGAAAGATTCCCTCCGTTCAAACACGAAACTTGAAGGAGAATAAATTCGTTACTCAATGAGTACTAGGAAAAAAACTTACATACTTTTGTCCATAAAATATACTTGAATTTATAAGGACAATGACAATCAATAAAAAAAAACTATCTACGTGGTAAGATTTTACAGACTGTAGTTTGTGCAGATGGCCGTGAAGAAGCATGTTCAAGAGCCGGCATCTTGGCGTGACTGAAATATCTTGGAATTACGTTACCAAATAATTACTATGACAACTCTGTTTTGTTTTTCTAATCCAGAACACATTTCAGAATTTCGGCTAAATTTTCCTGAGATAGCACACACACAACCTGGTACCTAATTCCATACGTGCCGGATTCATTTGGTGGGATCGCGGATATCACATAACTGAGAGCGTCATCGGAACCGATTGCAACCCGAACGGCAGCCCATAGTGGGACAGAGGTACCCTCTCTGTTTTGGAAACTATCAAGCCGGGGTTGCTAGCGCGTCGCGATTGATGAGTAGTGCGTGGGATTGCATATAGTGAGGAAGATAAGTGCTGGATGCCTCTCGCCTACACCATAGGCTTGTCCGAGTCGAACCAGCTGGGAGTCAAGTTGTACACGGTGGTTGACGTGAGACGAGTAGTCATCTGTGGCCCACCATTGCCATTGCACTTTGACCGTCGTCTCATCGCGGAGTCGAGTTGTCCCATTACCCCCAGGACACACTTGCATATACGCAATCCTCTCACTTGTCCAGCGGTTTTGCCTCCCCTTCCTACATGCATCAGTGGTTTGTCCGAGTTAGCCCGGGCACAGTGGCAATGCAACTGTTCAAGACCCATGCAGACACAACGCAGTCCAACCAATGCATATGACGATTCAGCCTTCCGCCTCTTTGCGGGCCTAACAGACCAGTGATGCAAACTTTTGAAAGACGGCTCGCATACACGCTTGCTATATAACGGCCTACATAGATGCAAGATTAAAAACAATGAGGTCAGCATACCCCAACTGTCTGAAATCACCTTCGCAGCCTTGCAACTTAACGACAGTAACGGAAAACTGCTTGTGAGTGTAGTGATAATTACCTTTGCAGAGCAGTTGGGGTGGTTCCACGATGTGTTCCCCATTGGAGCAAAAGTAAAGGGCAAGTGTCACCTCAGAGGCTGCATTCCCCTTCATAAATAACCAATTCGACCTCGTATTTGGTCAATTATTGCGCAAAATAGGCTTTTAGGTAGCAGATAGTGCTAGTGATCGGGCTTCCGGTTTTTCTTACGAAAGACGTGATGTTTGTTGGTGGTTAGTCGCGTTAGTCGGTCAATCGGTCTGACCTGACTGTAGGATAGGATAAAGGGCTTCAGTTTTGCTTTATAGCATTGAGCTTGAATTTTACGGGCAGTCGCATGACGATGAGCGTAAGACGACTGAGAGGCATCACTTTAACCTACAACAGAAAATGGAATGGCCATCGTTGGCAGGTCCTGACTCGACACGGCTGATGCTATCGGCAACCAGTTGTCAAAGGAGTTGATGAACGATCAAATGCCACTACACCACATCATTCAGTACCTGGTCACAGTCTAAATTTCGCCAGAATTTTGCAGGACAGGAACGAGAGGCAGCGACAATCGGCGCTCAACCAATGGATAGCGGTCTCACACCTTGTTCACCGTGATCGGGAATATTCAGTCAGGAGATCGTTATCAACTGGTTTAGCTCGATTTCAGAACAGCATATGACCATTCCCCTTTGCCTCTGCTAGCGGTTCATGTGGCGACAAGCAGTCAACAACAGAAAAGTGTAAGTGGATCTGTAAATGCTATTTCCGGTTGGCTCACTGCACTCAACCAGTTACATCCTAACCCTCCAGACAGAGTTTAGAACATTATTGCTGCCTAAAATTCAACAACTTACCCATCCTCCCCGCCACCTTCTTGGTCTCCTTCGACGGCTGTTTAGACGCCTCCAAGTCGTCATCCTCTCGGTTGCCAGCATCGCTACCCCGGCCGCCATCTGCCAGGCCGTATTCCATTTCTGTCGGCAGACCGAACTGTTCACACGCCATCATCGATCTGCGACCATCCAGACTGGGATCAAAACAGAGGCGCATTGGACCGCCTGTACAGCTGCCATCTGTGACGTAATTCATGTTACCGCATCCGGGCATCAAGCCGGTTGCGGAGAAGTCGGTCTCCACGAAGGGCTGCAACGACCCGGTTGCAGTTTCCGTCAGGGTATTCATCCTTGTGCTCGGGACCCCAGTCTTCTGCTTCTGATCGGGCAATAGGGCTGAACGAAATCGATTGGGGTGGCTTCTGTGGAAAATACATGGTAAAAGAACAGAAAACCAGCGTGATGACGTTCGGGCGGATCTGGAATGAGTGAATGGAAGTCGATATATAATACACAGGGGCATGCACGCACAGGGAAAAGGGACTTACCCTCGGATTAGGGGGGCGACTGACCGCAAGCTTATCTCTGTGCTCCCCAGTGGGCGGGATTTGCGCAGCACTTTTGCTGATCCGCGGGCTTGTGTATAAGAGGTAAGACTATCAGCTTTAGCTGGTGATTAGTTTTCGCCGTTTAAACCCGTGCGGCGAAAGTGCCTCGGAGAGATAAGGCTAATCCAAGGATGAATTCTGTTGTGTCACGCTCTAAGCCACCCGGATTCAGAAATGCGAACAGGCGTCCACTGTTATCCCCTTCTGCGCCTGCCCAAACTTATCGAATCCCCCTCCCCCCCTTCACTCTGCCGGCGCATCGGCGGTAGCTGTAGGCGCAGGGGGGTGGAAGAAGGGTCTTCGTAATACGGATTGGCCATTGACAGGATACGCGACCATAGGCATTGGCGCACAAATGCGCAGTTATGCTTGTCTGCCCACGTTAACACGCAGTCCCATTGGCTCGGCATTTCGGCTGAAAAGACGCTATGGGGGGAGAGGCACTGCACTGGCCAACCAGAGCACTGAACGACCGTGAGGTTATCCAGAGCACGTCCCTTAGGCACGGACAGGACACTGAAAGCAGGATTAGGAGCCCTTTATTTATCGACTTAGACATCAACCTCAAAATATGCAACTTTGTTGCAGGAACAGCTGAATCCGGACAGTTGGCGGCACTGCCAGGATGGATGAGCGCGGCCTGAATGATGACCCGAATTGCTGCCCAGTTTACTTCATTATAACATTCAAGTGAACTCTAGAATAGCCTACATTTAAGAAGCAATGAAGAAGCAAGACTGGTAGACGGAACAGAGCTCTTCAAGGTCCCCTCTCCGTCGTATTCTGCTCGACAGGTTTTAATTCTACAGTACTCTAAATAACGAGAAACCACAGCACCACCTTTAAGTGAAATGAAGAACGTCCATACACTCTAACTTTTCCACATGAATATTGTTTATTTTATTCCAAAATTAGTGGCTGCTAGGCTGTTCTGGAGTGGCTGAGAGCTTCAGATCATTAGGTTTTTGAACAGGGAAGTTGAAAGTCAAGTATTTCTGGCAAAAGAAGTCGACTGACCATTTCGTGGCCAGGATCCTTATCCAGTAGTCAATTAATACTTAGACCTTAAACATTTTGACATAAAGAATGTACAGAACCTATAAAACTGGAACCTAATATCGTAAAAATGGTGGCTATTACTTACGTCAACCACCTAGGCCATCATCAGAGAAGTTGTTCTCTGCAAAGTTAAGCTACAGGCCGAAAGCCATAGGAAGCTATGGATCATTATTTGTGACTTTTCTTGCTATTAAAGCTAGTTTTTTCCGATTATCACCTCTGGTTGCGATCTTCCTTTTCCCAGTAGTTAACTACCTCAGTATCGACGTCAACCCTCAGTCCTAAGTTTATTAACATTTTCACGATGAGCAGTCCTGCGCTGTGGATATTGCGTCTGCGAGAGAGGAGCCAGGTTAACTGTTCTTAGTATTCAGTTGCTAGTCTATCCATAAGGACTACTCTTTATCTTTTTATTACAGCTGGGAATTAAGACACAAGGCTCCTAAAAACCCCCATCGGAGTTTAGTCACCTGGAAGGTTTCAAATCTGACTAGCACACGTTCGGCCGCTGTCATGCGGTGACTGGTTTGTGCTGTCTTACTGTCTAATAATCATTTGTCCAATCTACCGCTCTTTCTTCACGAGAAAAAGTTCACAACAACTTTTTTAAGTGGATGTGTGTTTAGAAACAAAAATCAACCAAACTCCGCTTCAGTTCCCTCCTTATTGTGAAAATACCCATTCCGCATATGACTTTGAGCAAAAGTGACAAGTGGCTGGATAATCGTTAAGGGAAAAGGAGAGTGCCACATAAATTATCACTCAACGCAAGTATTTTGTGGGACTTGCAGCCCATCGCCCTTATTCTGCATTCCCATCAATTTTTCAGATCCATTTCTGGAGTCAAACATTCTCTCTAACATGTTCTTATCAGTTAGGGCGAATCTCAGGCCAACTGCTCGAATTTTATCGAGAAACTCATATCAGCCAGTACCGACAACAGTCAAAAAATAAAAAAATGCTGGAAATTAAACAATGTCCCCAGGACTCATTTGCTCCACTTCATGCAACTGAAAAAGCATTTTTTCAGGCGCCTGTGCTGTTTAATAAAATATAAACATACTACTGGCGAAGAAACGGGAGACTGGAATGGTAACTTCTGGTTTATTAGCCAGTCTCGGCCAGCCATATCCAGCTGCATGTGCCGCAACATCTGAAGCTCAAACCGGCGATCTGTTAGTTAGACGTCCAGTGCTACCAACTGAGCAACTGGCTCTTTGTATAGCTGCTTTCGCTCGGGAATATTAACAATGGCGGCTAGTAACTCAAAAATGGTAATTTCGGTCTCCGATACCAATAAATCCGAGCCCCAGTAAGTAGTTGCAAATTAGACGCGATCGCTGGGACAAAAAACTTTAGTCGCCTGAACTTTCGGATTCCGATTCGAGCCCATCTTCGGAGCCAGTATCACATAGGGTATTACGTATGCTTGGGCTGCAGTGTCTGCAGGACGCAATCGCTAAGCTACTGCATACCTATGACAATTAACAGCTCCCCCTTCATCCTGGATGATTGCCTCCTGGTGCTCTAATTTCTTCTTGATGGCCGACATATGGGTCGCTAACTGTTTAAAGTTCCTCCCCTTAATGGAGCTTTCCGTTGGATAGTCTTTAATCCTCACACCCTAGTTAAGGCTCACGTTCCAGAAGAAAGGGTGAATATTTGTTATGTCGTCTTTTGGAACGCTCGTGTTTTTACTATTCAGGGACACCACCTTCAGGCCGTTTCTATTGACTGCATTAAGTTCAACACTTTATTTAGGTATCGAAACGTCAAACATTTACGCGGTAAAAGAGTTAGTCAACCAAATATACTGGAATCCCGTAAGCCTACCTCGCCAACGCATATTCAACAGGTATCAAAGACAGGGCGACAGTAGGTCAGACACATCTTGCTGCGTTACTTAACAGAAAACAAATACCATCACAACAAGAACGGAAGTTGGACTGATTTATCTAGATTTATCAGTTGTCATCAGTTAGCCATAGGCCAACTCTAGACCAAGAACGCTTTAGAATTGAAGCAATGTCTACTTACTCTTTGCGCTAAAACATTATACCCATTCGGACATGCTCGTGAACGGAGTCTCCAGACGGCGAAATTCCACAATGTTAAAGGATTCGAAATAATGGGGTTTTCACTTCCTTGAGGTCCAAGCTTTTCACCACTCAGCGTGCCATAGGCGCCAACTTTGCAGCATCTTGCATGGTATATGTTGTCATTTTCTTCCTCTATTCCGGCAGAATTTGGCAATCGCAAAAGTTTTAATACTTAAAAGGTAAGCTTTCTTCGACATGTAAATTGCTATCAAATGAGTACAAGAGAATGTATTTTTGTCAGGTTACATATAAAATATGACTATATTAATAAGGGCAACAACAATCATTGGAAAGCCGTCATATTACTTAAATATTCATTTTTATAGAGTTTAGTTTTTGGAAGCGACCGAAAGGAAGTTCTTCTAGAAGCCTACATGTAGACGTGTCTGAACTAGCTTTGAGGATGTTGCACGATGGTGAATATTACAATCCTACTTAAGTAATATTTTCGCAATGAAAAAATTTCAGAACTTTGGATAACATTTAATGAGGCAGCACACCTACTAAACCTCATTAGACCAAGGGGTAAACTAAAAGAGTCGTTGCTGACTTATTCGACGGTAGATGCCTAAACTACTTCGAATCCAGATGGGTACGTAAACTTTTAATTAAAACTATTACTTAAACGAATATCTTTAAAATCAATTACTCTATTATAAAGTATTCCATTGGCCCTAACGAGAGCAGAAGAATTACATTCTATATAACCTTCTTGTCCGATGACTTCAAGCATTTTTTCTGTTTTTAAGGTATGAGTTAAACACTAAATACAGTTCTTTAGAAGTCCATTTATTGGACTATGTACCATTGATAACCATCATTAGTTGTGGTCTTGGGTTTTCATGCGGATACCTTAAACTTTTGAAACCAGATGTTTGATATTGAACAGTTCTTTTGCAAATGTTCAGTTATTTTCTTAGAGGTAAGAATTATTTACAATTTTATGAGAGAAATTTGGGGAAATTTGACTGATTTAGCAGTTTCTCTTACTATTTTATCCGTGTAGGCCACAAGTGGGTGGTGGATTAGCCGTGGCATTAATAAAGACTAGAAAAACTACCTGTGCTTTTCCGAAGCCACAAATGAATATAGTATTTTGAGCGCTGGTGGGGTTATTGCATTGTGAGTTGCCGCAGAATAAACAAATCCATAACCAAATAAAGGAATATGGTCTTCAGGGGCATTACATCTCCATATCTGGTATGTTGAACCAAGAAACGAGCCATTGAAAAATAATGAGAAAGGTGATAATACGTCCTCAAGGTGAAAATCCGAATTTTGATCAAGGCACACTTACTCAAACTATGATAAAACTCCACGCAGAAATGTCCTCCTCATTTGATTTTCGTCAAATTATGTAGAAAAAAAGCGTTTGACTAAACCTGCGGACACTTACGAAGTCCGACTTTTAAACTATTCCGTAAAGAGGTTACAAAAGTTACCATGACTATATGAAATCATAATTTCTACTAGCAACAGTCAAGGGTCGATATCATGAAATGTCACATAACATCCCGGCACGCGTCTTCAATTAGGAAGGATTACTTAAGCGGGATTGTCATTATCCTGCGGCCTAAATCCGT